AACCCAGCAACTCTGGAATTTATGACAATCTCTCTTTAAATAACACTAAACTGATCTATACTGACATTTATAAGAAAGACTACCTACATTCAGTTTTGGTGTACAGACCCATGGCCTGGTATGCAAAGCTCTTTTGCTTCACACACTGGGGGTCCGTGGTTCAATTCCTGGTAAGGGTGGAAACATTGAGTGTTTCCTTACACCTGTTGTCTCTGTTTACCCATCAGTAAAATGGGTACCTGGATGTTAGCCGACTGGTGTGATTCGCATCCTGGGGAAAAACTGACCTAATTTGCCAGAAATGTTTTGATTAACAATGGGCTGTCTATATAGTAGTAGTATGTCATTGATGTCAGCTAGGCCTGTATACCTTGTACATGTGCTTGTAGAATTAAAGATATTACTATTATTTGATGTCTATCTGGTATGGTCATATATTTTTTATGAATAGTATAAGAAAAATGGAATTCTTCCCAATCTTGTATCGCACGGGGGTCATAACCGAATTTTGAAAACTATTTTTTTCCTCGGCTGTTTTTTTATATTACTTTCTTCTCTGTATGCAAACCATATGGTGCATGTGGTAAATTTTTTGGGGGTAAATAACACCCAAGAAATATGGAATTTTCCAAAATCTCAGAACAAATCCCTACAATTTACATAATAGTCCACTTTATAAGCCATCAGCAAGAAACGAATCCATAAGTGAGAAACAAATCTACTGTATAAAGCAGGGAACACCTGTAGTAATTTAGGACCTTAACCAAACTCTTTAGGTTTAGCTTTATCAATGAATCTTGTAACAGTCAATCAAAATGAATGTCCAAGCCACATCATAAACCTTAATGGAAAAAACTAAGAGTCCCAACCAGCATCAAATCAACATTGAAACAATAGTTCCTCTTTTCAACCAAACTCCATTAGTACCAGCAATCATAGTTCTTCAGGAAATCGCTATATTTTTTGTAAGCACGGGCATCTCCAAAGAAATCACTGGTCTCAGTTTTGTAGGAAATTAGAATAGGTATGCTTGTCATTCCTGAGGAAAACTCCACTGCTGTCATGAGTTATCAGACAGCAGATTTTCATGTCTCAAAGCAGAAGAATGGTTCGTACCCTGCCTGCAGTTGGAAATCTCGCGGTAGCTCGGCTAACACAGGTTCTTGACAGTATCCACCTCAGGTGCAGTCTCCTCTTGCTGTCCCTGTTACAAATCAAAGGGACACCATTAATGTAGAATCGCATGATGATTTGGGGGAGACTATGCCCACCAATATGACCCCGAGATAGGTTTGAACCATCAAATATATTTGGTACCAGTCAGTAAGATCTGAAGCCTTAAATGAAGTACAAAAACTGTTTTCTGACACTGAAGTACAGGGTTACAGTTGCAATCTCTGACATGGATGATGGCAGGACTGAATACTCAAGACAATAATGCAGACACGCACATGATCTGCTTACACAATAGATTTCAGGGATTAATAGGCTCAATAATTACAGCTAAATTATTTAAAGACCCTGTCAGACTTTTCCTAGACATGGGAGCCCAAGTAAATATTACACACTGTAGTGTTTTGAAGGCCAAAGAAATGCTGTGTTAGTCACAGAACCTTCTGATGTAGCCAGCCTCAGTCAAGTATTGGCACTGACCAAATATCAGGGAACAGATTACTCACTTTCCATGTAACTGGATAACCCTGTGAGCCGCCGCCTTAGTAGTTGACAAACTACAGTTCTCAAGTGACATGTTAATGTGTTTCATAACAATAGCTCACCTGAAAATATAGTACTGGGCTTGGCCCTTCTGACTGTCCAAAGATAGCAAGCATACGTGACGTAAGTAATATCATTTAGGAGTACATGCCTCAGAGGAAAGGTTTATGGCATCTTGACTGAATGCTATTGTTATGCAGAACTGTTGCACCTTGTCTAGAAGGTAATCGCACCAGAAATCATAAGAAAATGGTCAAACAAATGAAGAACATGTAAAAAAAGGCAGACAAAGTAAAGGAATTAACAACCTTTATGCACTATCATATACACAGAAAAAGAGGACAGCTGCAAATAATTCCAAGTTATCAAAGGAAACTTTGCAAAGAAGAAAAGCTTTTTGTTTTTTGGCTGTAGTAGTGAAAAAGAAACATCAAGTAAGATTTTGTTTGCAGTATTAACTCTGAAGATTAGTAACCCATGATAATCCAGTAAAGTTATGACAGACTATCAGACTATCTGGCTTATTTCCATCTGGACTCTTAAATCTCTTCCCCCAAGATACAACCTAAAGCAGTTCTTTCCTTCTTTCTTCAGTGCAACTTGTCATTGGTCCAAGTTGGACCAAAACATCGTCATTACTTTCCCTCTCCTAAGTGCAGGTTATCTGTGTAATACCCAGGTACCTATCATACTAAAGGTACACAAAACTGACAAGTTGATGAATGATGTGCAGCAAGCTTCTTCAGTCAAATACAGAAATTATTTTAATATCAGAAACAATGGGAGTGGAAAGGCAATAGGTGTTCAGCCCCTAAGTCTCAAGTCAAGGCATGAGGACAAACTCGTATACTGGAACTAGAAGTAGATACATTGTATAACAGCTGGAGATGACATCACAGGCGAGCGAGACCCACTAGAGGAAATAAGTCATGCCAAACATTTGTTTAGCAAAAGAGTTGCAGAAAACTTTCCCTGTACCTTAAGCCTGCCCATAATGCTCTGCATACAAGGGGCTTTGGCATGTTGCACTTTAATAACTGTATTCCTTTGTACTTCACTGTATCATATTCAAATTAATAAATAAATAAAAAAATAAATAAATAAATACCTAGATGTCACCGTATAGCTTTGCCAGACAAGAATCATATTATTAATGACCTCTGCTATCATGAAAACACAGATTAAAAATTATATGCAAACAATCCCAAACTATTGAAGAAAACTGGTGACAGAAAATGCAGTTAATATATTACAATATTTATGGCTTCACTTGAAAAAATAAAATAAAAAGCAGAGAGATAATGAAACAGAGTATACAAATCAGAAAGACTGCAAAAGGCAAAGAACACATGAGAAAGACAAGAGCAGGTTTTTGCAATTAGCTTCCACTTGGATCCAACATAAGGAAGAAATGCTGGAAATGGGGACATATGAAATCTGCAAAGCTAGTGACATATCAATAAGGCCAGATCTACATAAGAATAAAAATAAAATACAGAGATTGCACAAAATAAACAAAAAATGAAAGAAATCAGGAATACAAAAAAAAAAAAAAATCTAGAGTAATGGGGCCATACCCTCCAGCCCAATGAATATCAAGAAAATGAACAGTGTAGGTAGAAACTAAACCAAAATAGTGACAAAAAGGAACAATGGACAAACTAGTTCCATACACGAGATTTGAAGGACATGGCCTTGGATGGTACTAGAGAAATTTTCTAGTATATTGAGGCATGGTTGACTGATAGACAACAGTTTGCATAAGTGGTATGATTCACAGTATGCACTAGTCACAAGTGGCATTCAACAGGGGACTGGTTTGGGCCCATATCTGTTTGTAATCTGCATAAATGCCCTAGATATAGGAGTAAGTAGTGACATAAGTACATTTACTAATGACACAAAAATAAGTAGACTAATAAATTCATGACAAATGCTGGAACTCCAAAATTATTCAGAGAAGTTAATGCTGTTGTCAAAAAAACAGGGAAAGATTCAACCTGAATGAGTGTAAGGTTCTAAGTCTGGGGAAAAGAAAATAATCTTGGCACCTAGAACTTAATTATACTAGCCTGTAAAAAAGCTTGGGAACCTCAGTCAGCAAAAAATTTGAGGACAGGTAACAGTTCTTAGTGTTGGTGATAGGTAATAGACTGTTCAGATTTTCATCAGTAAAAATAACATTAGTTCTAAAGCTATAAACTAATATATAAGTGAATCATACACTGACAGTATGGGTAATTTATACTGGTATGAATGACCCATACTAACTAGTAAAGAAATAGCTAAAATATTTTTGGTATAACTACAGGCCCTCTTCAAGTAACACTTAACTATAGTATCTGCTTTTTACATAAACTGTATAATGTGCATTTTTAAATTATCATCATATTAAAAGTTGATGATTGCTCCTTGGCAGATTTCGCCCACTAATTATGGTTTGAACTGTACAATATTAAGTTGGTTTTACCGTTGACTTATTTCTTGCTGTGTCAATGGTAAACAAAAAAGCAATATGACCTAACGAAACCCAGCCTAAAAGAAGCTAATGTAATTTGCCTTACTCTCCCATCGACAGATGCTTTTATGGCTACATTTGGCCAGGCATAGCTCAGTACTATGCGTTGATTGGCTCAGACGTGCTGCACAAACAAATAAATGTAGTATTTTTGCAACTATCTCCCAAAATAACAACTTGCACAAGAAATACTCATTCTGTTGTGTACATAAGTTGTGTGTATTATTAAATGTAAACTACAGTAATGCCCGAGTACACTGTTGCCATTTATTATTATATATTATTATTACAATCTGATAACAGATCACTAGTTTCATTTAACCCTACAATGGAAATAAGTCACTGTCTGACTTTTTTGGGTTATCCTAGGTAATTTACACTATGTATGATAATTGTACCTATGTATACCTGTGCCTAAATAAACTTACTTATTTCATTTAGTTTATATTAGGGTATGAGCAGTTGGTCAAAATCAAAACCTGTACCCCTCATTTAACCTGAAGAGTCTACCTGGAGGTAGACTCCAGGTAATATCAAGTGTACACATGTAACAAATTAACATTATTCAAGTATAATCTCATTTTACCTTTTTCCAAAAATCTTCTGGTTTTAATATATTAGGGAGACTATAAAGGAAGATAAAAGAACAAACACTAAGATAGTAACATAAGTAATATAGTAATGCAAATGATTCTTTGAATTTATAGGAATAAATTTAAATTATGAAATTTAATGAGCAATGGGCTGAAAGGAACATGTAACATACCTGATACTTTGGTGCATTATTTAACTGTGGATAATTTCCTTGTGAATCTCCATTGTGTAACAAGTGATTGTCTACCAGATTCCACCCCCAAGAGTGTTCATCTGAGCCTAAGAGTGCCACATATCCCGGGCACTGTACAGCAGCGTCCCTGGTGGCTATGCCTATGACTGCCACAGTGCCAAGGGGTCCCTCCCACACTACCTCCCAGGCATGTCTCCCTGACCTGAACCCCAGCTTGCCCCTGGCACCATCCGTGCTCTGGGCCACAGGGTTCCTGTGTAGAGTGAACCCATTGGGCTTCACATATATGTTCCTAGAGCAATCATTTGGGTTCCACGCGTGATAGAAGGCTCTTAATTTGGCCTTATAGGTCGGCACAGAGGATAAGAGGTCCGATTTGAGGGCCTCCTCGGCCAATTTTCTAACACAGTGCAGCCGCCATACATCATTGTTCTCGTCGTTGAGGTACTTATACCAGTTCTTACACACTAGTGAACAGTTGCGCAGGTCGTACACATCCAGATAAGAGAATATGACTTCTAAAACACGGTCTTGTAAGGAGCACCAATTCACCATTTTGCCGGCTGCATCAGCACAACACTGAGGAGAGAGAAGACAGGATACTACTCTTCTTAGACACATAGGTGGCGCTCACTACCACCACTACCACCACTACTACCACCATCACTACCACCATCAAACACCTGACTGTCGCCACAGCTGACAGGACCCTCAAACACCCATCTTGACAGGTAAGTCTACCCCCTCAGACGTCTGTAAGATGAGGACGTCCTCCCAGAGGTCCTCCCCTCAAGCTGCGCCATAGAAAGCTTTATTCTGCTTAAATGGTCATTTTATTTATGGGTTGCCTTCTTGTTTTGTTATCATAATGTTTACATGAAGCACAAGATTATTACAGGCATTCTGCTGTGATAAATAATGAATATTAAACTTAGGGTGGTTCAGTAAAGTAACCGGGATGTCATTCTTTGAGGGCCTTTCTTTAATCTGTCTCAAAATAAGGTACATTCAGCTTAAATATGAAAAAGAATAGCCTGCAGGTTTTGGGTTTCCATAACGTTTATATTAAGCACGTGATTATTACTGGTATGCAGTGCTGATAAGTTATGAAGATATAACAGAAAAACACGTGACCCCAATGGAAATAAGTCGCATTGTAAAGAGGATTTAGTAGGTTTGCAAATTTTGTAAGGAAATCAAAATCAGTATTACTATATTAGAAGAGGTGAATACAATTTTGCAATATCCACTGTACATGAACAGATACTAAATGTCTTCTGTATAATCATAAAAGAGAGTAATAGGTTACTCGGTTATGTTAAGGCCAGTAATAGTATAAATCAGTTTTAACTGAACACAAGAGTAAGAATGTAAGAACACTGGAGCACTGCAGTAGGATAGTCATTTCTCATGTATTCATAGTAAATGCCTGAATTTATACTTACACTCATCCAAATGACTGTAAGTACAAAATTACTCAAATTGTTATTACCTTATTAATCTTAAGTTAGTCTTAAGTTTGCCCGATATGCTTTGCATATATAGTGACTTTCTGCATGTTCACCCAAATGTCATTCACCTTGTACAAACATTGTATCATGCTAAAATAAACATAATTATTGGCCCATGCTAGGCAGGTCCATTTCACACCCAACTATGCCTATTCATGTACTCATCCACTTATATTTAAAGCTACCCAAAGTTCTCTCTCCAGTGACATTGCTTCAGAGTTTGTCATTTAAGATATACCTTACTCAGGAAATCTACAAATTCTACAGGCCCAGTGGCCTGGTGGCTAAAGCTCCCGCTTCACACACAGAGGGCCCGGGTTCGATTTCTGGCGGGTGGAAACATTTCGACACATTTCCTTACACCTATTGTCCTGTTCACCTAGCAGCAAATAGGTACCTGGGTGTTAGTCGACTGGTGTGGGTCGCATCCTGGGGACAAGATTGTGAACCCCAATGGAAATAAGTTAGTCCTCGATGATGCACTGACTTTCTTGGGTTATCCTGGGTGGCTAACCCTCTGGGGTTAAAAATCCGAACGAAATCTTCTCTTATCTTAATCACCATTTTTGATTTGAGTTGTCTTTATTCTTTTGATAATGTCTGGGAAGGTTTCAGATTAAAAGAACATTGGGATCAGCATCATTACATAACTACTACGGAATACTATGAATATTATGGGTTTCAGAAAATACTCTACATGTGCTGTAGATCTATATTAAATCCATAAAAAATAACTTTGTACTATAATATGGTATCAGTTTTTAAATATGAATAAATTCAATTTATTTAACAGTTCATTTTGACTTGTTAATTTTTTAAAAGCCCTCAAAATACCTTACATGTTTCTACTTTGCCTTTTCCACAAACATTTTTCCTAGATATCTATTTTATTTGCATTTTGCAGTGCAGTTTAGAATCATATTAAGCTATAGATTTTATGCACTGCATCTTAGTGGTTTTTTTTTGTGCTTAAGAGTATTATGTGTACTGTATACTGCAGAAAAGAAATAGAGCTGTATTGTACTGTATCAGTTTGCATTTGGAAATAAGTAAGTTTATTTATGTACAGGTATACAAAAGGACAATTATTATACATAGTGTAAATTTCCTAGAATAACCGAAAAAATCGAAGTGATTTATTTCCATTGGGGTCCCTTTATTTCCATTGGGGTTCTTGTATTTCCACCGGGGCCCTTGTATTTTCATTGGGGTTCTTGTAAGTAAGTACGTAAGTTTATTCATGTATGGGTACATATAAATACAGTTACATAAATTATTATACACAGCAGTATGTGTGTAGATTGTCTAGGTAGGATAACCCCAAAAAATTCAGACAGTGACTTATTTTCACTGGGGTCCTTGTTATATCTTTGTAGTTATTATTATAATAAAAAAGAAGCGCTAAGCCACAAGGGCTATACAGCATAGATCTTTGTAGTATTTGTTCACTTCAAGTACTGGCCTAGAAGGCCAGGTGAAGGAGAATATGGCTTGATCAACCAGTGTTTGGCAATTCAATTCAATTCAATTCAAGTTTATTCTCTATAAGGGTTACAATGTGGGGTTTACAGGTTTTGGGTATTGTGTGGTTTACATGTTATAAAATACTAAACTACTAAAATACTAAACCTTTACAAAAATTCAATGTATGTCAAAGGCCCTAAAATCTGGAACACCCTACCTGAGAACTCGAGAACTGCAGACACATTCATCACCTTCAAAACTACCATTAGAAAACATCTTATCTCCCTGATACACCCCGTCAACTAACTACACGAATACCACCTGGTGGTTCACACTTACACTCACTCACCCATTTGACCATAAACAGAAATATTAATCTCAATCTTAAAATAATGAATCCTGTGATACTCCAATACTGAAGCTATGTACTGTGCCAAAACAAAAGCATTCACATTGCTAAACTCACAAACTAGTATTTAGTCACTTAGCCATAATACCAACTTACCTCATAATTTGTAATATTTTAAAATTAAGAATTAAACTAAGTCTGCCCGAAATGCCTAGCCATGCTAGGTGTTCTAGTGGTACACTCTGTAATCATTATTTTACTGCATGTAAACCACACAATAACCAAATTCTGTAAACTCAGCATTGTAATCCTTATAGAAAATAAACTTTGAATTGAGGGGGCCACTAGCACACCTAGCATGGCTAGGCATTTCGAGCAGACTTAGATTAAATCTTAACATTAAATCCTTACAGATTATGGTATTAAGGCTAAGTGACTACATCATAATTTGTGAGTTTAGCAATGTGAATGCTAACTTATGACTAGTTAGGATTTATTATTTTAAGATTAGTATTTCTGGGTTTATAGTCAGTGGGTGAGTGAGTGTAATTGTGAACCACCAGGTGGTTATCATGTAGTTAGTTGTCAGGGTGGATCAGGGAGATAAGATGTTTTCTAACTGTAGTTTTGAAAGTGATGAATGTGTCTTCAGTTCTAGAGTTTTCAGGTAGGGTGTTCCAGATTTTAGGTCCTTTGAAATACATTGAATTTTTGTCAAGGTTTAGTCAAACACGGGGAATGTCATAGAGATGTTTGTGTCTGGTGTTATGCCTGTGGATCCTGTCACAACTATCAAGAAAGCATTTTAGGTCAAGGTTAATATTGGAATTTAAGGTCCTGTAGATATAGATTGCACAGTAGTAAGTGTGGATGTTCTGAACAGGGAGTAAGTTTAGATCTGTGAAGAGTGGGGGGGGGGGGTGTTGCCAGGGATGGAATTTAGTGATTATTCTTACTGTGGCTTTTTGTTGGGTTATTATTGGCTTAAGGTGTGGGGAGATTCAGCCCCAAGTGAGTGAAGTAAAAATTTAAAAATGACAAATGAAAGTTCAGTATATTATGCATACTTCAAAAATTCATTTACTCTTTGAGTGGCTGTCACATAGAACTATATTATTAATGCCAGGGTCTTTCATGAAGATGTATCATGAGCTCAGCTCACTCAGATAAGCTGTGAGCAGTAAAATTTTTCCCTGGGTATGAGAGAATGGGTCTGTGGTGAGTTTTCACAGTATAAAAAAAAAAAATCCTGCTCCTATGGGGTGCATGATAGGACAAGTAGAACTCTGATCTTATGTTTGGTTTAAAATAGCAAATTTGAGGTGTTCTCTCAGATATTTTTTATGGTTTTATTGGCTGTTTCTTGGTATCATTTTATAGAATGCAAGACTTATTACTGAAAGAGGATTGTGGTTGGTTTCAGGACTGGAAGTAGGTTGAAATTGGGCTCAGATTAACAGAAATATTACATGTTTGCCAATTTTCCTGAGGATGGATAAGGCCCCTACCCCCCTCCCCCAGTCTGTTTTATGGGTTTTCGATAGGTCTTATTAAATTATTGGGACACCTTAAACCATGACCAACATATTGTCAAAGAGTATCTCCTGAACTTAATGTGATTTACAATAAGTGATTATATATATCAAGTGTCTATTTTAACCTGATTATAAATGGCAGATATGTCTATTTTAACCTGATTATAAATGGCAGATATGTCTATTTTAACCTGATTATAAATATCAATTTTCCATTTAGCATTCATATTAATGGTTTTCTTCTCCCAAAAGTTTTTCTATTTTATCTTACTGTCTTTTCATTTTGGCTTTGCTGTTTTGTAATCTAAGTTTTATTACTTAAATGATCATTTAACTTGCTTATCTTATCTTCATACAATTTAATTATGTTACACTAAGCATTTTTGTAATCTAACCTTAAGTTTTATCAAAATTATTTTTAAGTATGGATTGCACTGCATAACTATTGGCTTTTTACCACTTGCAGTACAACACAACCTGTTTTATTCAATCTCCTAGACAGTGTAAAATCTTAAAATTCAAGTTTTTATTTCTTTTATGCAGTATACAGATAATGTTGTTTACATGTAATAAGTTATTGTTAGCCACAAAAGAAAGCCACTAATATGTAATGCATTTTGAGCAAACTAATCCTAATCTTGGAAAATAAGCTTCTTCATTAATATCAGAAGGTACAGATGCTGTAGAAAATTTTACAATTTTCCTGAATTTAGAGTAGAAAAAATTAAATACAATAAATGTTCATTAATATGTAGTGTTGGT